AACTCGTCAATAAAGGTCGAAGTAAAGGCGGTATTTCCACTTGCAGTCCAAATCATTAGCAACTGCTTTGAGTCGCGTCTCTCACTGACATTGGTATTTCAGACAAGATATATGCCGTTAAAGACATAAGCCTGACTGTTGTTACCAACAGAAACCGCAACTTATGTAACATTGCAGTGTGACAAAACATTGACTCAATATACGCCAGCTTTCTCAACTACACTCCCTCCAATCAGATGTGTTGTACTGAAGTAGATGTAAGTATTTGCACTTCACATATAAGGAACGAGCTATGGTCACAACAATAGCCACTGGCAGCAAGAAGATGGGTTTGTCAGTATGAAGTCTCGTGTAACGTGGGTAAGCATTCATCACGAATTAACAAGTGTTATCATGTCTTTGAAGAAGTGCGTCAGTTGTATCCTCTGTATATATCTTGTCATGTCAAAGAATGTTCCATCTCTATTTTAGTGTAGATTTCGTCCAGATGATTACAATACTCTGTGAGGCTCGAGCAGTTAAAATTAAACTTTGCAGAGGCCATTATGATGTTTTGCTAATGAAAGTTAAATAATTCAAATATTACACCAATATATGTTTACAGGGTTGATCACGATTGTGGTGATGTTCAGCAGCCAGTGTATAGCAAGTAAGTTTTGCAAAACAACGATCAATACTGTCGCGATCTGGATCTTATGCATTAAATGCATTTTCCTTCCACGTATCAACAGAACAATAAGGGTAAATGTTGATCACGGGCGACTCGCCTCCAGTATCCGTGACTCTTAAAGGTTGATTTTTCCATCTTGTGCTATATTTCTTTTACAAGATAGCCTTGAATTATCTTTAAACATGCAATATTTAGGTACCGTCTGTACCGGTGATCCATGCAAAAATGGAGGAACCTGTTCAGCTGGGTCGGGCGACTCATTTGAATGTGCATGTGCGCATCTGGCTGGGATGGAGACATCGCAAAGATGGTAACATTGGCTTCAGTTTACTCTCTGCTGTTTGTTAATTCCGCAACCGTGATAATCGCAGGTGTTTTATGGTGTACAGCCACAGCTTAACTTCTAAAGTGGACCTTTGCTGTGCTCAATTATTTTAAATAAGTTGTGTACAATCGTTAACCACAAAGAATGCATCCATTATCGCGTATTAATACATGAATGCTTCAACATGAGGTATTAAAACGTGCAAAGTGAATCCCCTGTTCCGGTAGTTACTGTTTCAGTATCAAATTACATGATGTTCCTTCTGTTGCGACCCTTAACCAGTCAGTGGTCCAATTACTTGACCCCTCGAACGATCAACCATCCTGCAGAAGGCTCTCAAAGTAAGCAAGTGAAGCAAACATTTTGTAATAACATAATTTGCCAATCCCTGACAAGCTGACATCATAACATTTAGATAACAGACGTAAAGTTTTATCAAGATGCATTTATCGTATCACCAAAACTTTGCATGCGTTTACTTCTGAAAGTAATGTCTTTTTTAAAGTGTCCTGCAAAAACAATCCATGCCTGAAATGAAGGGACGTGCGCAGTCGACAGTAGCAACATTGTTCGCATCGTGCGCCTGGTTGACGGAGACACGTGTGAAGATGGCAACATTATCAGATTACTTGCTCTACTGTCTGTTAATTTGCACCCGTGATGGGATTGCACTTTTGGATGAAAATATTTGGTGTTAAGTTCCCAAAATGGATCTTTGCTGAGTTTTACTCATATATAGTCAGTTGTATAAACTCGTTTACTACAATAATATATGTCCATCCATATTGTATACACCATACATGTTTAAGTTTCAAATATGAGCATCAAAACATGAGTATGTTTGAATATAAGTGTCAAACATGTGTATGTTTGAATATAAGTACTCAACATGTGTATGTTTAAACATAAGTATCAAACATGTGCATGCCTGAATATAAGTATCAAACATGCAAGGTGAATTTCAAGTTCCGGTAGTTACTGTTTTAGTAACAAATTACATGATGAAACCCTTGTTGCGAATTTTCAAGCAGTCAGCGTCCAATCACTTGACTCCCTCGAAACGATCAACTATCCCAGCAGAAATATGGCTCTTCAGCAAGGGTAGCAAACATTTGTGTGTAATAACATAATTTGAATGTCCCTGACAAGCTGGCATTGAGTAATGATTTGGATAACAGACGTAAAGTTTTATCAAGATGCATTTAATGTATCACTGAAAACTTCGCATGTTTTGGATTTTGAAAACAATGTCTTTTTAAAGTGTCCTGCAAAACAATCCATGCCTGAATGAAGGGACGTGTGCAGCCGATGTAGCAGCACATTTTGTTCGCATCGTGCGCGCCTGGTTGATGGATGACACGCGAAGATGGTAACATTATCAGATTACTATTCCTTACCGTATGTTAATTTGCACCCGGTGATGGGACTGCAAAAATCTTTTGATGAAATATTTACTAAGGTTAGTTCTAAAAATGGATCTCTTTGCTGAGCGAATCACGGCGTAAGTTAAAGTTACAATATGTACATCCATATTGTATACTCGAATATACACGCTTTATGTTTCTGAATATAAGTATTTCATCATGTATGTCGGAATATAAATATCAAAACATGTGTATGCTTTTGAACATAAGTATCAACATATGCATGTTTGGAATGGCGCTATTCAAACATGCGCAATTTCAAGTTCCGGGTAAGTTACTGCTTCAGTATTTAATAACATGATGAAACCCCTGTTGTGAACCTTTTAACAGTCAAAGTGTCCAAATAATTGACCTCCCGCGAAACGATCAACCATCCTGCAGAACATGTATCTTCAGCAAGGGCAGAAAACATTTGTAATAAACATAATTTTTATCAATCCCTCGAATAAGTTTACATCACAACATTTGATAACAGACTTTAAAGCCTTCACCAAAGATGCATTTTCAATGCATGCACCAAAACTTTGCATGCGTTTGATCTCTTGAGCAAATGCCTTTAAAGCGCCCGCAAAACAATCCATGCCTGAATGAAGGACGTGCGCAGCCGACAGCAGCAAGATTGTCTCGCACGTGTGCGCCTGGCCGGGATGGTATTGATGCGTAGCGGCTTGGTAACATTATCAGTATTGTTTCATCTCTACTGTATGTTAATTTGCACCCGTGATGGGGACTGGCACTTTGGATGAAATATTTACATAGTTAGGTTCTAAAATGGATCTTGCCGAAAGTAATTATTTATAAATAAGTTACTGCTACCAACGCCCGTGCCATCCACATTAAAGGACTTCATATATTACGCCATGCTCTGAATATAAGCATCAAACATGTGTATGTTTTGAATATAAATATCAAACATGTGTATGTTTGAATATAAGTATCAGCAACATATGCATGCCGGAATATAAGCATCAAACATGCAAGGTGAATTTCAAGTTCCGGGCAGTTACCGCTTCAGTATTTAATACCATGATGAAACCCCTGTTGTGACCCCCAACAGTCCGCGTCCAAATAATTGACTTCGGCGAAATCGTGACCAATCCATCCCGGTAGAAATATGGCCTTCAGCAAAGGGAACAAACTTCTTTGTAATAACATACACTTGACAATCCCCGATAAGCTGACATCATAAAATTTCAACACAGACGTAAAAGCTGATCAAGATGCATTTAGTGGATCACCAAAACTGTGTATAACGTTTTATGTCTTTTAAAGTGTCCCAAAAATCACCAATCCATGCCTGAACGATTTGAACGTGCAGATGGCACTGGCTCAATTGTCTGCACGTGTGTTAGGTGGCTTGGCTGGAACAGATGTCAAGACGGTAACATTTTTCAGACTACCTTCTACTAGTTTGTTAATTTGCGTCCGTCATGAGTTCTGCATATCTACAGTTTACTTATAAAAAATGTATCTTTTGCCGAGAGTAATTCACTTTTAAGTGATTTGTACGTACCGTGGCTTGCATTCGTATAGTACAAGAATGTAATACATATAAAACACAAATAGTGTCAGTATTTATCCTTTAACATATACATAGAAATGATTTTGATGTGTATTTCTGAGGGCATGTACTGCATTCCTAATATAGGTATCAAACATGCAAATAGGAACTTCAAGGTTCTGGCTGAATGTGTACGTGTACCTGGATGGGGAGGAAACATTCGGTGAAGATGCAAATATTATCAGATAATTTCTGTTGTTTGTATGTGTGCATTTTTATGACTTCGTGTGGACAGGGCTTAAGACATCCATCTGCAGTTTAATTCTGATGATAATAGCGATAATTAAGATGATAACTATTATATACAATGTACAAGTGCATATAATTACAAATGCATACCCCACATGCGTACATGCTAAGAAAGAATATTTGTTCCCCGAAGTGAAAATCTTCCGTAATATCATGCGTTTCTCTCACGCCATTTTAAACAATACATATTATTTATTAGCGATGGAACCGATCCCCGTGATCATTGCTGATACATGTGATACACAAATAGCAACGCACTATTTCTGCCCGCCGACGTGTTTGATCAAATAGCCGTACGCGTTTCTTGCTAGCTTACTCTAACTGCATGAATGATGCGATATTTACCAAGGCTCTGTTCCCATGGGATCTGGCACCAACAATGTAATTTAATTTACTTTTGAATTCACTTGACAACGACTTACTATCAAAACACAGCTTTTAAGGCGGAACACAATTTATTTTTGCTCTGATGCAAGGCGACCTGATGTTCTGTTGTCTGCAATTCCTTGCAGGTATCTATGTACATGGCTACAGGTATTATGTCACCTATGTTACTCTATATATATGGAGCATAGATCTCACTAATAATAATAGCGTTCCGTTTTCACGTTATTTATGTGACCTGAGTAAAACACAAATCCTTATAATATGTTTAACATTATTGGTGTCAGGAATACATTTGATATTATCAATGGAGCTTGCTTTGGGTTCTGAAAATTGAATGTTAAACATGTTTCATTCAGCACGCTATGTAACTATTGCAGGTTTATTACATAAATACCAGCTATCATGCATTATTTAAAATGAGTAAACTTTGTATTTATGAAAGTTTCCTGTGACAACAACCCATGCCTGAATGAAGGAACATGTGAAGTTAAAGACGGCTTCATTGAGTGTACATGTAAACCTGGTTGGGGTGGAGACAGATGTAAACTGGGTACATCCTCTAATATTAGTGTATTAGAAACTACTTGAAATTGTTATCATTATCAGAACAATAGCCTAAGATTAGACATTTTACAAGTTTTGCCAACTTTGCACATACAAACTCTGACACCATTTAGCAAGGACACCAACCAAAGGATTACTTTCCATATCTGTGATTGAAGACCTATGCGGTTTGGGTCCTTCTTCCCATGTCAAACAGTTAGATTTATACGAAATATGTGCGAAATACTACCTTCTTTCATTGTGTACACTTCCGAGCGTCATGACATGCAAGGCAAGATCAAAACAAACGTAGAATATGATCAGTTGATAAAGGACCATTTGAGTTCGCAGACAGACCCGTGGATTGCCTCGAAAGGCATGTCGAAACAACAAGTAGGTAAATGTCATTAACTCAAGATCTAGTTATGCCTTTGTCAAAGTTGAGTTTTGACTTTCTTGAGTGTTGTCACTGTTCTTCTGATAAAACACTTAACCGCCTGACATAATCTACATTAAATATATTCACTCATGAACATTAAGCACTAATATGTTTTATGAAATACGAAAACAAATATGCTGTGTTATATGCTTTGAAAGTCAAATTAAGAAAAAAGCACATGTAAAAGGTTTTCACACGAGGTTCCAGTTCTTGAAAATGAAATGTATCATGATTGCTATAATACAGCTTCACATTCAGTGTCTTTCTTTTGTAAACTCGTCGTAGCGTAATTACCGATTTTACATTTCAATTCAGCTCCACACTGCCAAGTTAACGACGATTGTGAAAACGATGGAACTTGCAAGACAGACAGCAAGCCGTACGTGTGTGATTGTCCCGCAGGTTATGGAGGAAACACCTGTGAACTTGGTGCGTACTGTAAACACGTGAAGTTATTACCCTTACGACTTTAGAAAATAGCTAGTAGGTTTGTATTAATTTATGTAAATCCAAAATCACAAAACGCATCGTCGTTCCCTATCATCTTAATATATGGTGTTTTGTGTTCGATGTCACTATATATTGCTATATGAAGTCAAAGTACAATCCCTGAAACGCCCTGATTCCTATACACCGGAGCTCACAACCAAGATAATTTTTAACATAATCATCCCATAATACTATGACATTGTATTCAGCTCGCCAATGGTCGCTGTACAATTTACATCTGAAATTCACTCTGACTCAATGTCTGTGCATGGAATCGCGAAACTGTGGAGTAAGAGACTTAGTAAAAGACTTAGCAAGTGACCTGTGTGCTGACGGTAAACTATGGTCTTGTACACATCCAGTAGTTCAGTTCACTCATCCATTTCCTTCCGCTATACGTAGTACATCTTCTGTATGCATTCGACATTATTTGATCATCCCATTTTTTGTTCAAGCTCCAAAGTGCACAGATGCCTCTCCATGTAAAAACGGTGGCACCTGTAAGGCTGACACCTCTGGTCAGCATATCTGTTTCTGTGTTCCGGGCTTCGAAGGGGACTTATGCGCTGACGGTAAATATGTATATGAACAATGTCCAGTTCCAGTTCGAGTAACATATGCGAGTATATGAATTATCTGCTTGTCATATTCCTCTTTTGATCATCGTCACCTTCAAACACGAGCATTTTGTGTGTAGCGTGAGTAGTAAACAACTTTTGTTCGTGCAGGCATAGAGCAATGACAACACTATACATGATTTGCTTCCGTCTCCAACGTTTACGGATTCATCGGTCTACGTGATATATAGATATCCTACCAATCCTAGACATTGAAATTGTATGAAGATCCAGCATAAGAGCGGAAAATTGCAGTACAATTTATACGTGAAATTGGCTGTGATTCAATACCGTCTCTCTTATATTAATCAAAACACACATTTGACAACATTATTGACAATTCGACCTTCTGTTATTTTTTCTTCAGTTAGCTATGTACATGGCTACAGATAATATTTCTCCTGTGTTATTCTATAAGTATATGAAGAATAGATCTCAGTAATCACAATGTACCTCAATACACGTTCAGCGTTCTTTCTGGGGAAAAGATTAACTATTTGAAACAGATAAATATGTCTTCAGCTGCTTTTTGGTGGGAGAAAGATGTAAAAACCGGAGGCCCTCTCTTGGTATCATTAGATGCCAGTGATGATAACAACATTAGGCATCTAAACATAATCCATTGAATCAAAGAATGTCTTATTCATAGGTGAAATCATTTTGATCATGATGAGCACAATGCACTGTCACAAGTTTGTTTATGGTTCCATGGTTCCATGAGGCATATCACCCCTACCAGTGCCATAGATTGCAACTAGATGGAATTATAAATAGAGAGCATGAAAAAAGAAATTTAGTTGATGTAAAATGTGTTCTGTTTCAGTTTTGTCTCTCCAATTTATGCAATTCAAAACTCGTTAAATAGAAGGGAAGATGTTCATTTCACGCATTATACTTTAGTACAATTTGTCGCTAAGTAAGATGTACCCGTGACGGTATATCACGTTAACTCTTTTGGTTCCCCACATTTTCAAGTGGTAAAGGAATATTTGTCAACGACCGTTAAAGAAAACGTCACATGAAATGAATCGATAGTGAAAAAAAGGTTTTGTTTCCTTCTGAATCTGATTTCATAATTGACTGGCATTGTGTAGTCGATCATTTGGAATATGATTACTTTATTGCCATTTAAGCAGAGGTAGTAGGTAAACGGGTAATGGAAATTGAGAAATATATTCAAAACGCCTTTAGAATAAGTTACATAAAAACATGTTACATTTCATAAAGTACTGACAAGATTATTGTTGCCTGTATCAGTGACAATGTACAGATGGTACAAGCAAACCACTGACATGAATGTACTTTGTTTCAGCATCTGGTGCTGCTAAGATATCAGTGCACATATGGATTCTTGCTGTTGTTGCTGTCCTCACAAAGCTGAGCTTCAACTGAAGACCAAAAAGACCATACTTTATACAAGACGTGTGTATTTCGTCTGGAGTGAACATTGGAAACATTTTGCGTTTATAATTGGTTGATTAATTGTTGTTAAGAGATTGAATGTGGTTACAGCAGTATCAATCAGTGTGTTATACAAAGGTCTTAGTGGACAGGAGATACGTGGTGGGTTTTCTGATGACATTAAGGAGATATTCCAATAACCAATTTGAAAGGTTTATCAGCATAATTATCTGGACACATATCTCTGGCCTGCCCATCAGTGATTCTGGTCCTTGTCAGCTTCATGACAATATAATTACCTCACTGCAGATAAAAAGACAAATTTCTCCCCTGCTTACCTTTCGGCCACTGATGACATGTTACTGATGACGTGGACCTGTCCCCAGTGACCACTGACACAGAGTAAATGTCATCTACTTCTTATCTACAGTGACAGTGAGTGTCACCTACCAGTGTGTTATCCTTATCTTATGTATAGTATGATGTATAGTAAATTTGTAATAAATCATTTATAATAAAATAAGAAAGCATGCAGTTTCATGTGTATTCATGTTTACTCGAAACGTGATATTTTCCACAAATGTGCCAGGAAAACCCCCAGCTTAACTGGACACTGAAATGTCGTATCGCCCTTACCTCAGCCAGACAGGATAGTGAACACGTAATTGAGTTAAACGCATTTGGACATCAGTTGAGCAGCGCAACAACATGAGCTATAAACTACCAGCATCCAAGCCTATTACGTCATTCGGTACCTCAGCTGAAACTGATAATGACATAATCATACATGGATTTTCAGTGCTTTTGGTCCACTGAAACCTCTGATAAACCTTTGAAGCAACCCAAGGGGTCGGTTGAGTGCTTTCCTGTATGATTTTGCTCATAATATCACTCACTGCTTTGTCTAGTCCAGATTCGATAATGTGCTGTATGCTGTCATATAGGAACTGGGATATTGTGGAGAGAACCTTGGGCCGTCAAGCACAAAACATTATAAAAACTGTGTGGCATTCTTTTCCTTTCCTTCATGAATCTGTCTCAACGGCGCATACAGGGTCTCTGGGACAAGGAGAAATAATCCTGAAGATGTTGTATGAAACAATCGTACAATACCCTTGCATTTAAGCATTACGATGCAACACGCGTTCTTCCTCGTAATCATTCGCAAACTCTTGTGAGGTAGTATCTATGATCGATCGTTCACGTGAATTCATGAAGTATATTTGTGCCTTCTTGCAGGTGCCATATTTTGCAGCAGACAAACAACTCCTTTTGCTTTCGTGTTTTGTATATAATCATTGTACCTGTCATGTCAAAGGAGATGACGATTTGTCAAATGCTGCTTCAACTCTTGCATCAGTTTTTACATAAAATATCTAACCCTTTAGGCTATTGTTATTTACTGGCAACATCAATGCACTGAATTTAAAGCTGTTTGCAGATATCAGAGCAAGGTCGTACTCGTCTTTAACAAACTATATATTACACATTTTACACGGTCTAAATTTCGTTGAGATTTTGATATGCCTTTATGTTTCAATAGTTAATACGTATGGGCGCCTAACTATGTAAACAAAAAGAGACGTTTCAGCCCAAACGTCCGTTTCAAACGTAATAATTGCCAATAATTTGATAGTATTAATAACAATGATGTCCTGTTAAAACTAATATCTTTGTACCTGGCACATGGTCGAATCGCCGTTATATCCCATCGATTGTAATGTTTCTCCTTCGGTATATTTGCCAGTAGCTTAAAGCCCTACTGATTATGATGTCCTTTTGTGTTGACTGTTGGAAAGTTGAAGTTAGTTGATAGTTTTTGTCGCTCTATTACTTTAAACATTTTATAGATATTAAACAGATGGCACCGATTCACTGGTCTCTTTTACTTCTAATATTTCAGGTGGGTAATTCAGTAAAAGGGAGCCGTTTCAATTCTGATTTTGTTAATTAAAACAGTAAATATTTTCTCAGTAAAACTTAGATGAAATTTGCAACTTTGTGCGGATTCAAAGATACAATGATCGCTGCTGTACCGAACCTGCATATGACCACACAGAT